AAAAACCAACAGGTACTGTGCACCTGAAATTTGTTAAGAATAGACCTTAAGTATTTTCTTCACCCAAATAAAAAGAAAGAAAAAAAGAAAGATAACTATGTGAAGTGATGGCTATATTAGTTTGATTATAACAATCATTTCACAACGTATACATGTATCAAAACATCACATTACACATCTTGAACATACACAAAGTTTATTTATCGATTACACCTTAATAAAGCCAAAAAACTCTGATAGGTTCTAATTCTGTAAATCTGATAAAAATTTTGATACATAAATTATACCTCAGTAAAGTTTTAAAAACGTATGCCTAAAAAAAGACAATTGTATAAAGCAACATGTATCACTGGGTCCACAACATATAGAAACGTAACACATTTGTTAATAACGGTACAAAGGAGATGAGTGGGAACAAAGGTGTACTGAGCTAAAGAAATTACTCTGGGTGGTAACTAGAATCCACAGGAGCAAACAATAAACACAACTCAAAAGGAAAAATAAGGTTAATGTAACAAAAGCTGGGCCAGCCAGTGGGATGGTGGTTAAGGCACTGACTCTTACATGGCATTTTGATTTTCTTATGCTGAGGGTTGACAATTCACACCAGGTATGTCTGTGTGTAAGCCCAAAATCCCAAGAAGAAAATGGAGAAGAGTTGGGGGTGTGGCCATCCCCCAGGGGGCGCTTTCTCACTTTCCCTCTCTCTCTGTCCCTGTCTACTCAAGTGTACGTGCCCTATGGCAAAGTAAAAAGAAGAGGGGGAAAAAAAAGTATACTTAACTTTCTTTCCTTTTTCCTTTCATCTTCTTTAAAGACATACTAAAAAGAAGAGGGGGAAAAAATATATATACTTAACTTGCTCTCCTTTTTCCTTTCATCTTCTTTAAAGACATAAAATAATTATAACAATGTATTGATGGATTTGTGATATCTATAGATATAATATATGTAATAATACCACAAAAAGCAGGGAAAGGGCATGCTATAAACTTTTCTCTATTTTTAAGTTTAAATTTTTTTGAAGTTTTTTGTTGTTGTTGTTAAAAATTAAGACAAAAACACACATTAGCCTAGGATTGGGATTATCTACCTCTGCATGTTGTACCCAACAATCCGAAATTCAATCAAGCATAAGAGAAAATCATGCAGTCAAGAGCAGGGTAAAAATAAGATGTATGAGGCTACTGCCCGCTCAACCCAGAATACTGTTGTACTGTGAACTTCTTTTTAACAAGTAGGAGCACACTCGAAAATAACAATAAACGGCATAGTAAATACATAAACCAGTCACGTGGTCATTTATTACCACTTTTGTGTTCACCTGTATTGCACATAATTGCATATACTATACTTTTCCATGACTGGCAGCTCAATAGGTCTGTTTACATCAGCATCGCCCAAAACAAGGGGATAATACATCATGTTGTGACATTCCTTAGAAATGTTTCAGTTCTATTATAACCCCCCCCCTTTTTTTTTTTAATTTGCCTAAGGGTGCTGTTTGCTCATCCTCAGGGAGAGAGGAGTAGAGAGCAGAGAAAAACATCCCCCGGAGAAGATGATCACACTGCAAACCCCCTATCCTCCATCTCTCCTCCCTTTGGGATTTTGGACATGCATACACATGTACCCAGTCTGTTTTTCCACTTTGTGTCAGATCCAGCTGCTTTAACCACCATGCCACCACCTGGCCCTCCACTATAATCTTATAGAAATAGTTACATTGTGTGGTCCATAGCTGACCAAAATGTTGTCATGCAGTGCATGACTGTGTAATCTTTCTTTTCTTTTTTGAAGAAGTTTTTGCCTTAGGGTATATATACTCATCAGAAAGAGAGAGACAAGAGACAGTGAAAGGGAAAGTGAGAAATCACTGCCCAGGGGGATGGCCATGCCACAATCCCTTCTGCATTTCTCTCTCCTCCAGGGGTTTTGGAAAGCACACACAGGCGTCAGCTTGATTTTCAAGACACCAAGTCCAGGACTCGAACCATGGTCAGCCATGTGGGAGGTCAGCAACATAACCGCTTCGCCATCTGCTGGCCTCATGTATGTATAATTTTATTTTTAAGAACATCACAGATACACATAAACAAATGAGAAAGGATAGCCCAAATTGTGAATAGCAATTACCTATTATTACAGAGTAGCAGGATTATAAACAATGTTAATTTTTTCTTACGGTAAAAAATTATTTCTAATTAATGTATTACTAATTAAGGTATTCCATGTAATAACACATGGGAAAAACTGCTATCAAACCCTCTTTACAAATGTGGCAATGGTATTTACATAGAAAACATGGCAATAAATCTCGTGTCTCAAAAAAAAAAAAAAAAAACACACAAAAAAACCCCGCCTGTAGAATAGCTAGCATTTACTATATACAAACTCATTATTTAATTCTCATAATAAGTCTAGGCATTTACAACTATTAATCCCCATGGTACTTATGAGTAAAGCGAAACCCAAAAAATTAAACTGTCCAAAGAGTTAAAGCCCAGGCCTGCTTGACTGGAATGCTCCCATTCTGAATACTATTCTAGGTATTGCCCCATCAGTTACATATAAAAATGTAAAACTCAATCGACTTAGACATCCAGTAACAAGAGAACAGGATACAGTGTAGCCATGAAAGTGTTTATGGAAACTAGTTCTATGTAAAAATTGAAGGCCCTCTTACATTGAAAAGCAACTTATCACATTCTAGGCATGAGTACAAGAAAATGTAATAATTCCATGGAAAAAGACCCAAATAAGCCCGTATGTTAACGTTGATTCAGTGTGGGTAGTGGGCTTCTGGGTAGTTTTCTCTTTTGCACCGTTGAATTCTTGTGATATTCATAAATGCACCAGAGTCGCTTCGAAAGAATGAAAAAACTGAATTGTAGTGTCATGGAATAAAGGGAGAAGTTTGTGTTTGTTTTGTAATAAATGAGAAACTCAGCCCAGTGTCTTCCCAAGTAACTCTAAACTCCAAGTCAAGGAATAAACTTGACATGACCTTATGTATTATCTAAAAAGCCACCTCCGTTCTTCTAATGGACATCAGGCGACTCTGCAGGAACCAATCGTTTGCTCCAAAGTATGTTATGATATTCAAAACTGTATTTGTAACCTGCGTTATAAGGAACCTATTAAGGGCTTACTGGGGTTGATGACAGCAGTATAGCTTAGAGGGTCCAAATTCCATCCTTTTCCTCGGAAAGAACTCAATTCAAAAATATTTCCAAACTATTTCTGGAATGTGTTCTCGTCGTCAAGAAACAGGACGAGCAAAGGCGGTCAGAGAAGGCCGAAGCGTCCCCAAATGCAAGCTCGTCCCAGCATCTCGCCTCTGGGACAGGGAGCATTGCTCATGGCTCCGGGGCGGCGGCGGGGAGCCAAGGGCTAAAGTCTTCACGGTCTCGGTCAGCAAACGAGGGATCCCCGGGCGCACCAGGGGAGCAGAGCGCGGAGCCTCGGCCCAGACCCGGGCTCTCGCACTCACTCGTCCGACCTGGAAATCGGCCTCGCGGAAATGGCAACAGCGCCGGCTCCAGACAGCAGCTCAGGACCGGGAGGCGAGAGTCCCGCTTGGGCTGCGGGGCGCGCAGGCGCAGACGCGAAAAACGCAGGCGGCCGGGACCCGGAGCTCCAGCAGGGACACGGGAGACAGCGAGCCGGAGCTCGAACAGACCCGCCCACCTTAACTCCACGTCCCCAGGCCGCCTCGGGGAAGCGCGCGCGCTCACCGAGGCCACGCCCCCGACAGGGACTTCCGGGGCGGGGTCTGCCGCTGGGGTGTCCCCTCTGCGCCGGTCCGCCTGAACTGCACTGCCCGCGGCGGTTTTCTGGTCGGTGCAAAGGTTCCGGTGTCCGCGGAAGGAGAGGGGCGATGATATTTCGGCGTCAGTTTAGCGCTCTACACGTTTGCTGAATGACTAAATTGATAAATGGGGTGTGTTTACTTTCATTTCTACTCTGTCTTCAAAAAGCCCCATCCCAGCAACCAAAGTTTTGGATGCGTCCTTGACAAATCTTCCTTGAAATAGGAATTGGTTTTACCATGCAAGTGAATTTGGCGAGAACTTCTTAAGGAAAAGTTTTGCCCGCATTTTTTCTTTTTTTGCAACCTTGTTTTTATATGCACTTAAAAAAAACTTGAATGGATTGCCAAAGACCAAACTTCAGTTAGTATTCGGCTTCAAACTTGAGCAACCTTAGCGCCCTACTCTCCACCTATCCTCCATACTCAGAATGCTTACATATTTCATTTATAAACGTGTGCTTTATTGCGGACCAATAGTAGTAGTCAGAGTCAAGTATATCATTGTGTTGTGGAGCATCTTGTCACCTTCTGCGGCCCATCTAATATATCTTTTTTTGCATGGATGGAATCCCATTATTCTAGTGCGGTGTCGGGGGACAGTTACTGAGAAATACATACCCTATGGCGCCAGACGCACAACGGAACATCCGCTTTCACCCTCCTCGCTTATCAACCAAGTCGTAGGGAGGCAACCTGGTCATTAAGTGACAAGTGCCTGTACCGCCTTGGTTAACCTCTCCGAGCTGGTAAAGCATTTACAATGCCTCCAACACTGCCCAGGATTGAAATGACACGAATCATTTCGCCTGCCCTAGTTCTCAACTTCTGGGTCCCACAGCGAAGCAGTTCCCGGAAGTGCACAGACGACACCATGCCCCACCGCCTTTGCTCCCCTCTGCAGAAAGCCACCACGACTATAAATGTCCGGTACTAACAGCGCAAGCTCCACCCAGTACACGATCCGAATCCTAGGAGGCACCGCCCTCCATCGCCGGAAGAGGCGTCACGACGCTGTGCGCTCCGTGCCCGGATGTAGGGTTTCATATCCGGATTCTTAGCGCGGACTGAGCCCTGCTTTTCCCTACGCGGTCAGCACATGCGCGGCAGCTCTTTTCCTTCACTTCCACTAGCTTCCACCGTCCGGGGAGC